GAACATTTGTAATGCGCATCCTCATGAGAGGTATTTCCAATCGTGATTTGGCATTTGTAATGCTGTAAACAGGATGAGAAATTGGCTTTCTCATGCGGCTTGCCTTGCTATGCACCACTATACTACAGACGGAAACTTGTCATGCACAACTCCCAAAGCTTGCCGATTTGTCTAGCAGATTTCCCATCTTGACTCTGGTGTGGGTACGTTTTTACTCAGGATACTGAACCCTCCACATCATGTCAACAACAGCCGACTGCTTATCGCGTTCAACTCGAACTTACTGATACAGAAGCGTGTGGACCGAGGAGGAGGCACCGCCGGCGGCTCTACGCATTGCAAATATGATGTATTGGTCATTTGGAAGAGTGCAAGAAGGACGCTTGTAGTCAGTCGTAATTCTCTGGTGCCAGCAGCTGGAGCATGACTCTCAAGTCTGTCAACATGCATTCGTTTATTATTTGTATTTTTACCTTTTTATTATTATTCCATTTCCATCCCATCGATCAAGCCCTTTTTGTTTTTTTTGTCATGGAAGATGCAGAATGGATGCTTGCATTATACCATGCAGAAGAGGCAACACGTAGCAACTGAAATGAAACTTTTGGTCAACATGCTTGGCCGCCAATTCAGGACCACGCGTTCGCATAAACAATGTCCAAAAATCCACATCACAATACCCCAGACCCGGACAACATAAATATTTGCAGTCCATAGGCTCAGCAGGCGCGCCCCCCCGCCCTCCCTCCTGGCAGGACCGTCGGGACTTGTTGAGAGCCAAGTTCCGTACTTACAAGAAAGAGAAGTCCTCGATGGCCACGTCATCCCCGGTGCGGACTGTATTTCTTCCCGGGAGTGTAGCGCGGGTACCCTTCAAGGAGAGCGATGTTTTCTTTGAAGAACTGGGGCGTACTAAACAGCTACGGGAGACCGCCTTCTACGCGCGGGATTTCGACGCGACGACAAAGCGGACAGGAGCATTCGAAAGCGTTCCGATCGATCGTTACGAACATGAGCGGTTCGTGAACACAGCGAAAAAAGCGGTCAGCGCTTGTTTAAAAGCGGTTTTGGAGGCAAGCTTTGTTCTTGATACTGTTCCTGGTAGAGGTCCTCGTGGAATAAATACATCAAATCAAGGCCGCGGAGTTGGAGGTGTTATTTCTACTGTTGGTCAAGCTCCTGTATCGAATGCAAATACATTTATGCGTCTACTACTGGGTCGTCTGCAATAAAAGTGGAGTAGTTCTTTGTCTTGCATGTCGTGTCTAGTTTACTTTTCTGAAAACTTGTGTTGCATACCCAACGCATCAGACGGCGTCAAATGAACTTGTCATGCTTAGCTGCACCTGTTGAAAGGAAAGCACCAGACTCATCGTCATCCATAAGTACCTAAGTATCAATTTAGCAGCACAGCCACAATTTAGATTTTCCAGAGGGAGGCAGACATAATATTTGCAATGCATAAGTAGATCATGGTGGAGATGCTGATCCGTTTCTTCTTCCGGTTTTAAGCTCTTATCATATGACAGTGCACAACTCGTCCCCCTGCTCCCCCTCATACCTTCGACTTCGTCATGGTGCAAGTTCCCAAATCCACTGGTCGCGGTCGCGCTGCCTTGTAGTACTTATTCATTGTTTGCGTGACAGATTTTATTCCGGAAGCCCAAAAAGGCTACTAGGACTACAGTCCCTCTGTGCGAGGCGCGTGAAGAACTTGTCAGTTACAGGCTGCGCGTGTGCAGCTTGTGCTTTTGTTCTTGTATATTAATTCGCTGTTGTTCTTCATGCGTGGAAAAGAAAAAATGAGGGGGAGCAGGGTGGTACTTCTAGTGCGCCGTCATATCTGAAATCTTCGATGTCGAACCCTTGTCGGACGGGTTGAAGGCTTTCTTAGCCGAAACCGAGGACGACGAGGACAGGAAGGCAAAAAAGAGCCTCGTGGCGAGATTCATCCAGGAGAAGGTTATGAAATGCATATTTTTAGTTCTGGGTCTGGAAGAATGCATGTTGATGCTTGTCATGCTTGTCTGGTATGGCTCTTACATCTGTCATGCACGTTACCCAAGAGCCTCCTCTTCTGTCACGCAGAAACGCAGCTTGCCATGCAGAATAGGCAAGAACACCCAGAAGCTCAGAAACTTGTCCTGCTAGCTGCGCCAGCACTTGTGGCCTCCTCATGATACGCCACCCAGCATCACAAATTTCCAGACCCAGACACATTTGCATTTGATACAGGTCGCTTCTCTTCAATTCGTCCGCGTGGACGTGGACAAGCAGGAGCGTGGGGTATCAAATGTAAAAATGTCTGGGTCTGGAAGAATCCAACTTGTCATGCTGATTTTGGATTCCAAAAAATTCTGTATTGCATGAGCAGCAAAGAGAGTCCAAGTTTTGCTACTCGGAAAGAGCATTTGTCATGCGGTATAGGCATCAGGAAGCCCTCACAAAATCTGTGACGCTAGGGCATGCATCACAGACATCAGGAGTCATGCAAAATGTGCATGACAAACCTGGCAATCTTCCAGACTCAGACATTTTTACATTTGATATGGGGGTATGACGGACAAAACTCTCAGAGGCCGACACGCGGAAACGAATTTGCTTCATCTCATGGAGTGGAAGCTACTACACCAAAAACAAGCTGTACCAGCTCATAAAGAAGCACAACAACAACTTCCACCAGTGGTCAGTAGTGCAACAACTTCTTCTTTTTTCGAGAATAAAATCTATGTCAGCAAGAACCCTTGCGTGCTGTGCCAGATTATCACAGAAAAAAGTGCTAACGTTAACGGAATTTGTGATGCAGAAATGCGTCACAAAACGTGGCCGAATTTGTCATGCAGAGCATGCATGCTCGGAAAAATTTGTCATGCATATTTGCAATGTAAGAAGGCCGTTAACGTGGTTAGCGCTTTTTTGTTTGATACAGATGCGTTTCGTGGCGTCGAATTGGGCGGCAAAACATGCTGGGTGGGGAGCTACGGGTTATCAAGTGTAAAAATGTCTGGGTCCTCCTCTGGAAGAATGCCAGACTTGTCATGCAGATCGTACATGACCCCTGAGGTCTGGTATGTAGGACAGAGCATGACAGATTCTCGGAGAGTTCTATCATGCCTATCCTGCATGAGAAACTGCCTCTCGACTAGGTCAAAAGTGGACAGCTCTTGGTAATCATGCAACACAGATTTTTTACATGATTCAGATTTAGCATGACAAGTTGCATTCTACTTCCAGACCCAGACACTTTTACAATCCATACCGGTCGTCGTGTTACTACAGGCGGTAGTACCTCCTCCGACGTCGTACTAGGAGGGTACAAGATCAAGATCGCGAGCCCGCTCTATGGAGTGCATGACTTCGCACAAGGTAGTACTAGCGTGGACTCTTGCGCTACGAAGGATGGCGATTTCTTCGAGATGACAAAGCAAAAGGCTCTACTTCATCCCGGCGCAGCTGCCACGGCTGGAGGCGGAGCTGGTCGTTTGGGATCGCTTGCCGCTGCGTACGGACAGAAAAAGGAAGATCATTCTTGTGGAGCGGCTGGTTGTGGCGAATGTTGTCCAAGCGTGCCGGCTCCCCCGCCACAACCTCGACCAACAAGTAGAACATCGGAAGTTGTTGCACCACAACGCGCAGCTGCTGCAGCGCTGCAAATAAGCCGTCGCAACCGTATCAAGCAGCAGATCTGCATGGCCCGCGACGTGAAGTATTGGATTTCGCCCCAAACGCTGACCCTGGAAACTGCTGTGCCTGCGTGGTTCGAGAGCAGCTCTGCCACTGAAAAGGACCATCCATTGATGTCTAAAACTACTGGCCGCATAGTTATTGACTTACAAACGGACGGGGCCGGTGGCCCGGAGGACAGCTTGCTGCGAAGGGCAAATCCGACCACCAGTACACGGTTGCAAGAGGGTATGGAAGCGTCAGAACCGAAATCGACAAAGGTCAAGTTGGAAAAGAATGGACTGCATAAGATCATCAAACGCAATGGTGCTCCTGCGCAAGGTGCCTGTCTTGCAGGGGTGTCAGCAACAACAAGCGAGGCCGACTGTAAGCCTGTTTGGGTTAGAGATGGAGCTGCTAAAAAAGTTGTAGCAAGGCAAAACAAGATCATGATCATGTCTTGTCATCCTTACAGCACACAAACTGGATTTCGATGATGCCGAAATTTCAATTTGTCATGCGCCGCTTGCACGAGCAAATGCAAACGAAACTGGGCAGCTTCCAAGTCTTCATCAGCATCAATTTTATGCATGGAAAGCCTAAGCCATTATTTGTTTATTCTTGCAACTTCAACTTTGTCGATTTCGATCCCGGCGCCTCCATAGATGAAAGAAGGAAAGCGCTGGAAAAGTTGAAAGCGCAAGCTACTGGAGAAGTGAGGCAAGTCAAGAGAGAACAACACGCAGGCTTTTCTGTGATGCAGAGAAGTCCGAGCCAGGAGGCTGCGGAGCGGCTGTCGCGACTCCGTCCTGGTGCTGTGGAACCTGCTGCAGCTCCCGATCGGGCACGATCACACAGCGGAGATGCGCCAAGAACAAGAAGGAGTAGAGCTACCTCGTCCCCTCGGGTGGATGAGGGCCGCGGCGGCGCGCCAAGAAGGAGTAGAACTACCTCCCGGGGTGGACAGGGGCACGCGAAACGGCGGGGACGAAGCACCAGCAGGCCCGCGAACAAACGCCGGAGCTTGTCCCTCGATCCGACCACGGAGATACGCAACCGGTATGAAGCTCTGTCCTCGTTAGCAGAGGGTGGAGGCGATGATGAAGATGAAGAAGATCTTGAGAAGAAGATTGACAAAATTATGTCTGCGGCGGATGCTCTGCAAAAAAGAAATCCTGCCCTCACGGACGCGGAAGCGGAAGACAAAGCCATTATGGATCAATTTGAGATCGACGGCATCCCTTTCTTCGCGGACAGCCTGCAAATGGAACCGTACACGAAGAGGAGCGAAAAAGAACCTGCTGAAGGGGAGCATGATGAAACCGGCGCGAAACTACAGCAAGAGGAGCCCCTCTCCCCTATCAAAAGGAGAAATCCCCCCTCCCCATATCGAAAACGAAATTTGTGATGCTGTATTTGTTGAGTACACAAATCGACTTGTAATGCTAGAAGGCCAAGACGAGACGCACCTGTGGCCTTGGTTGCAGGCAATTTGTCATGCTGCTTCCCACTTCCAGCTGCCCCCTGTCATGCTGAAGATGCAAGGCTTTCCCACGCCAACCAGCACTACAGTCCGCATCTTTTCCCTTCTAGCATGACAAAGCTGATTTGTGACCACAAATCTGCATCGCGAAGCTCTAGTTTGAGTATGGGGTGGGGGGATTTTTCACTTTGGTATCCCCAGAAGCATTCGCGCAGCGTTTGAAGGAGACAAAGGTCGCGGTGGTGCAAAAGCTAGTTAAAGAAGCGATCGAGCGGGGAAAAGTAGAGGGGAAAGTCTACGCGAAGATCGTCGCTGAAGCGGAAAGGAGGGTGTATGACTTGCGAGGTATCCTGAGTAAAAACGTACCCACACCAGAGTTGTCATGCAGATTTGCAATGACAGGAACATTTGTAATGCGCATCGCCAGGAGAGGCATTTTTAGTCGTGTTTTGTAATTTGTACTGCTGTAAACAGGATGAGCAGATGGATTTCTGATGCAGCTGGCCTTGCGAACCTGCACTACGCTACGGGCTGCAACTTGTGATGCGTGACCTCCAAAAGGTCTAGGCTTGTGTTGCAAAGTCCCCATCTTGACTCTGGTGTGGGTACGTTTTTACTCAGGACACGAGGGGTGTCGCGTCCCAAGGGCAAACCCCGCGCGGAGGATGCAGAAGCAATCAAAGGCGAAATCGCGTCACTCCTAAACATATCCTGTGCAAAAGTATCGTACTCGTATAAATGCAAGTCTTGCATTACAAATGTTTTCATCAAGGCAAATCCGCATGACAAATTCCATTTCTCATGCTAAGGAAGTTTGTATTGCAATTTATACTAGTGCGATGCTTTTGCAATGCATAAAACAGTGCAGAAGAAGGCAGCATCATGTTCAGCGTCGGCGACGTGTCCTATCGAGAGGAAAAATCCCCCCTCCCCATATCGAAACGAAATTTCTCATGCTGGATTTGTGTACACAAATCAGCTTCGTATTGCAGGAATGCGCTGCGGCCAGATCCCCAGGCTATGTAGGGGCGTATCGGTTTAATTGTTCAGCATGGCAAACGGCTGCCCTTTAGGCCCAACAGCATGGCAAATCGCTTCCATGATGGGGGCGAAGCTTTTGCCCTTGTCTTCTTGCAAGACAGATATGATTTGTGACGTCAAATCAGCAACGCAAATTTTCGGAAACATGCCTTTTGTTCGATATGGGGAGGGGGAGTTTTTCCTTTCGATATGTCCGGGATGAAAAACGCGAAGACCGAGTATGACAGCCTCAGGTTGGAAATCCTCAAAGTGGAAATGATTTGTAATGCAAAAAACAACTCCAGTTGAAGTGCCATTTCTAGTCGGCGCATGAGAAATTTTCCGGGCACTCAAAGCATGTCTGTCATGCTAGGTAGGCAAAGGGGTGCACTTAGAGTTGCGGGCTTTGTCAAGGATCGCACTTTGGGGCGAGGCAGGATGCCACCGGGGCTGCCCGTATATGAGGTCCGGGCGTCCTCGGATTTGTCAGCGACAGTCTGCGTTGAGAGAAACACAGGGAATGTGTTCGCGCAGTGCAAAACGAAGATGGAACGTCTGAGGGTAGAAGTTCGCCGACAAGAGCGGAGATTTCTGGCTTATGTCAACAACGCGCTCACGTTGCTGCAACTTGTCACGCAGCACAGCCATGGGGTTCGGAAAGTAGGTGTGGAGCTCTCTGACTTCAAGAGGCTGCAGGCGAATGCCCGCGGTCCACTCAGGCAGGGTCGCGGCATAGTGCTAAGCCTGGCAGAAGCACTAGAAGGAGCGCAGGCCCTGGGATACGAAGTTCGCAAAGAAGTACTTCCGAGCCACCAAAAGGACTTCATGCCAGTTGGTGCATCACTCCCGGTGCATACAGTTCCACTGCAAATAGTCAACGTCGCGCAACGTGACAACTGCTACACCACGTGGCCTGTCTATGAGTTCGGCGCGGACACGTATAAATTCCCTCCTGTCCGCGATTGGCCGAAGATGAACCGCACGAAACGCACTTTGTACCTGGATGAGTGCCTAGGGTTGTCGCAAGGGCAGGAAGCAAAACAGCAAGAAGGAGGCGCTGAAGTGCCGAGCGCTCCCTCGCAAGATGAGGGCAAAGGAGGGGAAGTCGCGGACCATGCAGGTTCGGACAAACAAGGCGCGGGCCCGGGTGCGGACAGCCAGACA